GGAGGAGGACAGACGGTGGCCTGAGAGTCCATGCCCGCCTGCCGTCATGCTCATGCCCGTCACTGCTCAGTAGGGCCTCCTGTGAGGAGGGCTCCAGGGGAAGACAGGCGTCCAAGGCCCAGGGCTGACCCAAGAAGACAGCTGTAAGGCAGTGTCTGTGTGGTGGGTGGCAGAGGGGAGGGAGCCGGGGCGGGGCCAGATCCCCAGAAGTAAGGGTCCCGGGTACCCTTGGTTTCGGTTCCCCATGGGAGCTGCAGTTTGAAAATGTTACTGTGCTACAGTGAGATGTTAAGACAGGGAGAGAGAGGGCCGGGGCTTTAGCTCAGTGGCTCCGCCGCCTGCCTCTCAAGCCCATGGTCCCAAGTTCGATCCCCAGGACCGAAAAAAAAAAAGACAGGGAGAGAGGAAGAAGCACATTTACATAGCTTATTCCAGTGCCTTGTGACCATTATACCTAGTTTTTATCGTTAATCTCACTGTGCCTATAAATTAAACCTTATCCTAGGTGAGGATAGGAAAAGACGCATTACCAGGTTCAGCACTGTTCACAGCTTCAGACATCCCAGGTGTTTTGGGGTGCGTCCCCCACAGAGGGGAGCAAACCCTGGCCGTGCTGAGAGGATTTGTCACAGAATTGAATCCCTAACAGTGACGCAGACAAGCGATCAGGTGAACAGCTGTGCTTGTCTATACCAGGACAGCCAGATGTTGGACGAGGCAGGAAGTGTGATTCCTACAAGGCAAGTCCAGAAAACACGGAATTAATTCCAGTTTAGAGTCAAGTTGTGCGATGACCATAGCCGAAGGTCTGTAGACCAGCTCAGTTGTACAGATCGTGATAAAGATGTCAGCTCCTCATTGGGAAGTTTGAGGGTGCAAAGAACAAGACTTTGCCTCTGGGGAGCAGATGAGGGCTGAAGGAGAATGGTGGGCCTCTCTCTGTGCCAGGCAGGGCTCAGACCTTGTAAACTGGGTAGGGGCGTGACTTTGGTAAGTAATACAAATGAAAATCCCAGGGAACCTCATGGTTCTGGGCCCTGTTGTGATTGCCTCTGACCCCAGAACAGGGTGTCCTTCTGTCTCCCCAGTTCTTGGGGGGAGGTTGCAGGGCTCCGTGGATTCTGACAGCTGCCTCCCAGATGTGGCAGGCAGTTCTCCCCTGAACTGCAAGGGCCGCCTGTGGAGCAGTCTCAGCCCCAGCCCCAGGTACAGCGCACTGCCTGCACGGGAGAGCTGGGTGGGCTGATCTGTGTCCTCAGTGTCGAAGAAGCACTCGTGCCGGTCATGCATGCCACCCACGCACACAGAGCCTGTCAAGCTGCAGCTTAGTTACTGGCCAGCGTGGGCCCTGGGCTGTCAGCAGATCAGATTTGCAGGTGTGCTCCTCTGCAGCAGCACAGTCGCCTGCACCTACTTTGGTGTGTCTAGAGTGTCCCTGCCCCTTCTGTCCCAGGCCTGCTGTGTCATGATGGGTCCCCTAGGACTTCTGCCCTTCCCTGCTGCTACCCCATCTGGGCCTTTTGGAATCTGGGCCCCCACTCCTGTGGTACCCCACTTCCCAGCCCTGACACGGGGCTGCGACTTCCCCTGCGCTTGGGTACCTTGTCAGTGACAGGACACATTCTTAGCCCTGTCCCCATGTGAGGCTCCTGGGAGGGCCTCTGCAGGAGTCACTGGCTGTGTCAACCTGTCACTGGGTACCCAGACTGTGTGTGGCGGGCCCAGCTCATGGTGCCTGTGCCTGAGTGCTCAGATCCAGTTGCCCAGAGCTGTGCATTCACAGAGCCTCTGTGACCTGAGCAGGTCACTTTGTGGCCCTTCCTCCATCAGTGAATGGGGTCTCACCTCCATTTTCTAGCAGGGAGAGGCTGGGGCCACATTTTTCCTGAGACTGCTGGGAGGCTTGATATGCTAGGGGAGGATGGAGGACATGTCACAGGCTTGAGTGAGCACACAGTGGCCAGAATTTCAGGCGCAGGGTAGAAGAGAGACAGTGGGCAGAGTCTCCCTCAGTCTCCAGGAAGGGGTGAGCCATGCCCATGCCCCGTGCTCACTGTCCTGACCTCCGGATGATCAGCTCTTGCCTTCCCTGGGTGTGGGCCCACTCAGGCACTGGGTGACAGAATTGGAAGTACTGGGGCCTGGGGACAGAAAGGGGTCCATTCGAGATTTGGGGAGCCAGGAAAGACCTCCTTGGCGGCAGTGACCCCCAGGTCCAGTTCAGGTTGACCATGCATGTTGGGGGCCATGGGCTTCGGGCTCAGAGGCAGGAGGGGACCTGCTGGAGCTGGGGGCATGCAGAGGTTGGGCCCCCGCAGGGCTCCGTCACTGGGACTATGAGAGCCCTGGACACAGGCAGCCCCCGGGAGTGGGTGGAAGGACTGGGCAGGCCTGTGCAGTGTCCAGGGCCACTAGCTGGGCGATGGACAGGTGGTGGCAGTGGGGGTGGAGAGGGAAGAGCCCCCTGTAGGCATGTGGTGGAGGCCCCGGCAGAGCCCATCCCAAAGTGCGCCCTCCTTTGCACACCGCCTGCCTGATCAGACACGGGCTAGCACTGCACACCCCGAGCGGTCACGCCACATGTCCCAGCACGCCTGCAGGGAGGCCCCGGCAGAGCCCAGGCTGGCTGGCTCCGAACCTGCACTGGGGCTCTGAACCTGCACTGGGTCTCCGGTTCAGGGTGCTAGAACTGTGCCTGGAAGGGGGTCAGTGAGCAGGTGGTTATTGTGTTGTCTATAGTTCGTCATTGATCATTTTGTTAGGTCTAGCCAGCTGACTATGCCCTAGGGAGGCCAGTGCCTGTTCCCAGCCCTGTCTCCTCTGTCCCTTGCCCTCCCTACCTGGTGCCCTCGTTGGCCTCTGTCAACTTGGGCTGGCAGCTGGAGACGGTAGGAGGCAGAGGTGCTTAGGCAGCAAAGGCCTCGGGGGGACTGGAGACAGGGCTTCTGGGGAGGGACTGTGGGCCTGCAGGGGAGAGAGCCTCCTCCTCTGGACTCCCACCAGGCCGCTGTCTTCTGGCATGATATTTAATGGAGGAATCATGGGATGGAAGTGAATGATATTGACGAAGAAGACGTCAGTGTGCAGAGAAGTTCGTCCAGGCCCTTGGCCTGTGGGGGCTGTCATGGTGCAGGTGGGGTTGGGACCACCAGAAATACAGGATGATGATGTGACCTGGAGGTCCATTTGGGGGACTCTGCCTGCACTCTGGCATTCACCCCAGTGTGGCTGCGCTTAGCTCATCAGGAGGAACATTGTGCCAGCCACACCCTGCTTTTGTAACCTTGGGCACAGCTGGGGCTCAGGAGCCTCATTTGTAAACGGATGGTGGCGCCCAGCTCACAGGATGAGGAAAGTCCTGCAGCTGGACTGAGACTTCTCTACTGGATCCAAAAGAGCTGCTTTCTTCCATGGAGTCAGCACTTCCTTGTTCCAGGACCTTTGCTCCCCATGTCAGTTGTCACTTTGACCTTTGCATCCTGGGTGCTGCTCAGGACAGGAGAGTGTGGAAGGAACAGGTGATGTCCTGGCTGTCCTGCTGCATTCAAGTCCTTGTCCTTGTGGTGGGGACAGTGGGGGCACAGAAAGAGCGTGCACTGTTTCTGGGCTGTTGGCACAGTGGGGACAGCGCAGTGTGGTCAGCAGAGCCCATGCTGCTAGGTGACATTTGACTGGGCACAGGGAGGAGGGAGGGAGGGAGGAAAAGGCTCCAGCAGGGGACTGGCAAGTGCCGCTGGCCAGCAGGCAGGAGTGGACACAGCTGACAGGTCTGGGGGCACGGGCCGTGGGAGGACTTTGTTTGAATGGGATCATGACCTGATTTGTGTGTCTGGACCATGGGTGGTGGCGGTGTGGGAAGCAGGCAACATGTTCCCCTCCTGGGAAGTGGTTCAGGTGCAAGGGGCCAGGGTAGGAGAGTCTGTTCAGCCACCCCTGACAGTGGGGTCAGCAGGCTTGCTGCATTGTGCTTGTGAGGAAGCGAGGAAGGTGTGCACCTGCATGGCTGGAGGGCTGGGATAGAGGACCGAGCAGCTGTGGAACAGACTGGCACCTGTGTCTGCAGGGATGCGGCTGCAGGATGGGCTGGGTGAGGCAACCTCGGGAGGACACCCAAGGCCGCCCTGTGGGCTGTTAGCAAGGAGGGGCCACCAGGGACAGAGACTGAACCCTCAAAGGGAGGGGACAGTGCTCAGCCGTGCTGTCTCCCCGAGCTCATGGGAGGAGGCAATGACTGGGGAAGCCTGGGGACTAGGACCTGCCTGAGTGGGGCTGAGTGTGTGCGGTGCTGAGCATGTCCGTGGGGCCTGGGACAGGCTGGGGAACACGCAGTGTGGCTTTTGTCCTTGGCAACTCCCTCAGTGTCCACCAACTCCCACCTGGCCTGCAGGGGCCCACGTGGCCCATGTGCCCACGGTGGCCTTGGTGGGGTGTGGTTGCCACTGAGTGGTCCAGGCTGGGCTCCACCTCTTCCTCCCCGTAGCAAAGCCTGGGATGCTCAGTCTGTCGGCTGGGGTGGCTGCACAGTGGGGTGGGTGGGCCCAGGGCTCAGCCGAGAGAACCAGGCACACGGCTGTGTGCAGACGCAGGCATGGGTTGAGAGCGACCCTGGAGCTTGGGCTTCAGGGAAGGCAGGCTTGTGGTGGAGATGCCTGAGGTTGGGGGCGTGGGCAGGCAGAAGCCAGGCTGGCCCCCCAGAGGCCTTGTGTGGGATACCTGGGCCTTTATTTGTGAGCAGTGGAAAGCGAGGAAGGATTTCAGGTTGAGGACCATGGGACCCGAGCCTGAAACATGCGTTCTTCCCAGAGGATGGTCCCCACATCCAGCGGGGACTGGTGTATGGCATGTAGTCCCTTTGTAAGAGTCTGTAGCCCTCCAGCAGCCTGACCCCTTGAGTGAGAGGCCTCTCTGCCTTGTGTGGCTTGGGGCATGGGCTGTGGGCCATTGCTGTCTCCCCGCTGCAGGGCTGGGCTGCTCCTCCTGAGCCTGGCCTCTCTCCCCAGGCACAAGCCTACTGCAGGAGGTGGTCTACCTGGTGAGCCAGGGCGCTGACCCCGATGAGATCGGCCTGATGAACATCGATGAGCAGCTCCCGGTGCTGGAGTACCCACAGCCGGGCCTGGACATCATCAAGGTACCTCGGGCAGCGGCACAGCCCCTGGCGAGCCCCTGGGCACCTCAGCATTACACTTTCTGAAGGGGCTCAGGGCTCTGTGGGCGCAGGATGGGGAGCCCAATGTAGGAGAGACACTGAGAGGGCTGTGACCCCTGCCTCTGGTCAGGGTGTGGATGACCTCTGGGTGAGGGGACTCAGAAGCCTCACGTGAGGTGCCTGGGCCTTTATTTGGGAGCAGCACAAAGCTGGGAAGGGTTTTAGGTGGGTAACTTCCTCCCATCTGCAGAGGGAGTGGGGTAGGATGTGTTTGATCAAATATTTGGTATGAAGAATAACCTAAAATATTCTCCCCAAGCCCCGTGTGTGTTGTCCCTCAGATGGAGCTGGACTTTTCTCCACTCCACCCCCACCTCACCTGCCTGCAGCTCTAATGCCAGCTCTAACTGTGACTGGCTGGGTGCAGCATAGCTCTGAGGGCCCATCCCACCCCATGTCTGTGGCTCTCATCCTGAGTGAGCTGGTCCCTGAACCCCACCTCTCAGGTGCACCTCACTGCCCACACTGCCATGCCCTGTGAGGGCTGCTCACAGAGTGTGTGGTGTGGCTACACGGAGTGCCCCATTGCTGACACCGCCCAGCCTGGCCACAGAGAGGATGGGAAATCTCGAAGCCTGGCCTGTCCCTGGAGGAGGGCTGGGGGCTGCAGACAGTCTCTTTGAGCATGGGGAGGGCTGGGCTTGTTGCCATGGTGACAGGGAAGCGAGACTCAGAGTAGAGGGCCCAGGAGCAGAGATGCTTTGCAGGATCACCCTGGCTGCTACACGGGGAGGAGTCGGCAGTGTGGAAGGAGCATGGGCTGGAGACTGCGGCCATCTCACAGGCGACACTCTGGGCATGCACCATGGTTCCTCTGCTGCCCTCAGGTCTCCCATGGCCATTTTTGGCCACTCTAGGCACAGTCAGCAGCTCTCTGGTCTTGAGCAGATTCCTGTGGCCAGGAGAGGTTGAATCCTCGAGCTGAGGAGACGGCCCTTGTCTCTCCCTCCAGGATCCAGCCTGAGTGTGGGTCCTACCTCAGGCAGGAAGTCAGTGATGGGCTGGGTCCTGCTGGAGAGGCCCTGGGAAGAGGTGGGGTGATACCCCCTCAGAGCCACCTCTCTGTCCGCAGGAACTGACCTCTCCCCGGCTCATCAAGAGCCACCTTCCCTACCGGTTCCTGCCCTCTGACCTCCACAACGGCGACTCCAAGGTAACTCGTGCCCTTCTCTCCGGCCATCCGCCTGGCCTGCCTCCCGCCCTGAGAACTTCTAAGATCTGTCTTGGGTCACAGGTCCAGGATGTTACCCTTGTGTTAACAGGGCCTCTGACTGTGTGGCCCTGGTGTGACCCAGAGGCAAGTGCTCCCTGTCTCCTGTGCTCCTGATGGGCTTATTCCCTTGAGGGTGGCGGCTTCCTGAGGCCTATGGCCTCATCACCAGTGTCACAGTGTGACCTCTGTCTTCTACTTTAAAGTAGATCTAGAAGACAGGAGTACAACTGGATACTTGAAGGACCTGGCAGATGCTTTCTGCCGACCCTGGGCCAGTCAGGAGGCTGCCTGCCCAGGCAGGAGGGCGGGCAGGAGGGCGTCCTTTAACCCTCGCCTCCCACAGGTCATCTACATGGCTCGCAACCCCAAGGACCTGGTGGTGTCCTACTATCAGTTCCACCGCTCCTTGCGGACCATGAGCTACCGAGGCACTTTCCAGGAATTCTGCCGGCGGTTTATGAATGACAAGCGTAAGTGTTTCCCAGGCTGAGCTGTTCCTGGGGCCTGGCCTGTGCTGGGCTGTTCACCTGCACAGTCTGAGGCTCATGGTGACCATGTGACACATCCTGCTTTGCCGAGGAGGATGCTGGGGGTGGGCCACTGGTCCTTGGAGCTCTAGTAAGCTGCTCCCTGTCCCCACTGGGTCCTGAGAGCTCCCCAGCTAAGCACCCCCTTCCTGCCTGAACTAGGAGGTGCAGAAACCACTGCTAGTGATGGAGGCCAGAGTAGCAGCTGCAGCTAGGTGCACTAGTCACGCGGCCTTCAGCTGGCTTCTGCGACAGGCTGGGACACAATGGGGGTAGTACGCAGTGCAGGGAGTGGGGTGGCAAGAGTGCCATGTGCTTGTGCATCTGCCCAGGTGGTGTGAGGTGTGGTCACACGGGAGGTGGGGACATCACGACAGGGAGGAGCAGGCCTGCATCTCTGCACCCTGCCTCCGCCTGTGACCTGGAGTGTGGACTGCGGCCTGGTCCCACCCCCCCCGCCAGTCCTACGCCATCTGTGGCTGCTTTGGGCAGACTGGCAGGGTGGCAAGTGGGCAGCTCAGAGTTGCATCCAGAAGCTTGGAAATGGGTCACATCTGCACTGGAATTAAGTCTGCACGGAGATGGCTCTGGACCCTGGTCTGCAAACGCACTTCCTGGTTTATTCCCTGCTGTAAACGCTCACACATGTGCTCACTGTGGCTTCTCAGGGCTTCTCAGGAAGTGGGGCAAGATCAGGATGAGGCATGTGACGAACCTGGGGTTACAAAGCACCAGTGTGTACAGGGCTGCCGCCCAGGCCTGTGCAACCCCCGAGAGCCTGGAGTCCAAGTCTGTCTTGAGCCCTCCCATTGAAACTTTGTTCAGTCTGGTCAGAAGGGCCTGCCTAACGGGATGGGGGGCCGCAGCACCTGCCCCTGGAGGCCCCCAGCCTACCAGGGGCCCTCTGTGGAGCCTTCTACTCCCCTACCCTTCCTTTTAGTCCTCTTTCTCTATAGAATAGTAGGGACAGCACCCCAGAGAGGGTAGCCGCCAGCCACGCTCACACTGCCCTGCCTCACTCAGCCAGAATAGGCAACAGCTGTCCTGATGCTGCAGGCCTCCCCACTCCAGCGTCGCAGTACCCTGCCCCTACTGATTTGAGGCCATATGCACCAGATCCCACCAGAGGGCTGCTCTGTGTCCTCATGCTCCACCCCTGTTCAGCCCAGGGACCCGAGCTGTGCACAGACCTGGGGCCACAGAGACCCAGGCTCTAGCCTGAGGTGCTGAGAGCTCAGGAACTAATACAGAGAGCATCAAAATGACACCGCATCCTGATGAGGGCAGAGGCCAAGCAGAATGTGGAAGCAAGAGACCCACGGGAGGATGTTGTAGCCTGAGCCTTCAGGGATGAGGGTCAGGGACACCGAGGCACGTGACGTGCAGGATGGGGTTACTCTGGACAGGGTCTCTGTGACTTCCTAGCAGGGTCAGTGGTGAACTGTGCCTTCCCACAAGCTGGAGAGCAAGGTGCCTGCAGAGCAGTGGGGGTGCAGCAGGGATACGAAGGCTCCGTCCATCCCCACCTTTTGCACACGTGCCAGGCCAGAGGGGACCTGAAGCTCTGGTCTCCCCATAGCTGGTGCCCTGTAGGCAGTCAGGCGCGCCTTGCTCCTCTCAAGGCCCTGACTGGCTTCCCTGTCACCTGGCTGGTGTGGCTGTCCAGAGCCTCCTGCACCCATCCTACCCCCACCCTCCTCTGGGCATCATTCTCTTCCTGCTGTGCCCCTTGCTGGGTGCTGTCGAGATCCCCTCCAAGCACTGTGAGTACCATGTCTTCAGAGGCTTCACTCCCTGGTCAGGCACAGGTCGGGGCGAGGGCCATTGGCAGGAGATGCGTACTTAGGGCATAATCGACGAGGGACCTGGGGTGGGATTGTCCACCGGCGATGGCCCAGCTGAGCACCTGCTCTTCCTTCACCTGCACCAGGCTGCTCTCTCCCCTCCCTGCCCCGCTGCGGGAGGGGGTCCCTGGACAGAGGGTGCACTCATGGTGCCTGGGTGTCTCCTCTGCTGCCATCTCACCAGTCCCTCTCTCCACAGTGGGCTATGGCTCCTGGTTTGAGCACGTTCAGGAGTTCTGGGAACACCGCACGGACGCCAACGTGCTCTTCCTCAAGTACGAAGACATGCACCGGGTGAGTGTGGGTGCAGAGGGGCCACGGGTGAGAGGCAGCAGCTGCTCCTGGGTTGGGAAAGGTGAGTGCGTGTTCTTGCCGTAACAAAAGTGGAGCCACTGGCGGGAGAGCATGTTGGGACTGCCGTTCCCCATCCCTCACACTCTGCCCCTTTGCTCATACACAGTTCTTGGGCTTGGAGGGCAGGTTCCTCACCACAATTGCCCTGTGGTGTTGCCTGGTGCTGGGGAGCGTCCAGCTGAGCTTGCGGGACACAGGGCCTCACTGTACAGTCAGGCTGGGCAGGCAGAGATGCTGAGCAGGCCTCTTGGGCTCCCAGGGCTTGCTGTGTAGAAGGGGACACCAATGTGCTGCCACCATTGTCCTGAGCAGGGTCGGCATATGGCCCTGGGCACTGCAGGTGCAATGGGCATCATGTGTGAGCTCCCAGAGTCCTGGACAGCCACGCCTTCTTGGCAGGACCAGGGCTGGACTGTGGAGGAACACGAAACCATCCCTTAAAACAGGGCCTTGCAAGGCCAGGATTTAGCTCAGTGGCACCGGGCCTGCTTTGCAAGCACAATGTCCTGAGCTTGATCCCTAGTACCGAAGAAAACCCCCCAAAACAGGGCTTGGCGAATCCTCTCTCTCTGCATCTTTCCTTGTCACTTCTTCATTGTAAACTTCTCTGCCATTGCCCCTTCCTCTTCCACCCTCTTCCATCCTCTGCTGTCCTGCCTGGCTGCCCTGCATGGTCCCCAGTGACCTCCACATTGCTCAAGCCAACAGCATGGCCGGCATCTGGAGCCCTCTCCCTAGGCCTTCTGGTGGCACGTGACCGGCTACTTCATTGCTCCGGGTGCCACAGTGCCAGCCCTCCCGGTTTCCTGGTTTCCCTGGTTCCTCTTTTCCTTGACCAGTCCACGGCTGCTCGGGCCTCAGGCCTCAGCCTCAGCTCTCAGCTTATCTGCGCTCAGTGCCCTGGGTTTTGTTCCCTCCCAGGCCTGGGACGCTGTGGCTGCCCTCCCCAGAGGCCCTGCCCAAGCCAGGCTCTGCAGAGGATCCCTTGGATCTCCTCTGCCCCTCAGCCCAGGGCCGCTGACCCCACCCTCAGGTTTGCTCAGGGAAGAAGTCCTGAATCACCCTCCGTGATCCCCACCTGGCATCTGTTTTCCAAGTCTGGTTGCTCTACCCTCAGGCCCAGTCCCTTCCTAGGTGCTCACCTCCTAGGGTCCATATACCTCCTGGCCTCACCACATGCAGCTCAGTGGGGACAAGCCTTGGCTAGACCCCAGCAGTCCTTCCTCTTGGGGTCTCATTTATTCTTTTGAAGCCGCAGTCGTGGCCTGAGATGTCGGTAGTGGACATGAAGGGCTGCATTACAGTTGTCGAGCTAGCACTGTTTACCTCTCACTTGAGAAGAGCAGCCCTGGGTGCATGTTGGCCTCTCCAGATTGCTCAGGGGCCCGGCCCTGTCTTGTCTTGCCTTGATGGTTGTGGTGACATTTAGGGCTGGGGCACTTGTTTGTTTGTGCCCAGGGGCTCCCCTCACTCACCTTCCTTCTGTCTTGACTGCTTCACCGCCTCACGATCTTGGTGGGCTGTCCAGGTGCCCAGGCCACTGCCCACTTCACCCTGCTGGGTCTTCTCATAGCCACGAGGCGGTGACCAGGTGACCAGCAGTGCCGGGACCTGACCCGACTCGCCGGCCCTGTAACATGCGGGCCTCTTGCTGCAGCCCCGCCAAGTTGAATGCTGCTGTCCCAAGCACAGGTCACCAGGGAGTGCAGGCCTGGGCGGCGGGGGAGGTGGCCAGAGCTGCTGAACAGGCAGGCCATCCCATTCCCACCCTGGAAGGACGCAACTTCCAGAAAAGTTCCTGCTGCCTCCTCTGAGAACATCACCTGGACAGTGAGCTGTCCTGGGGGATCTTGTGCTCAGGTCCACCGTGGCCCTTCCCTTTTGGTGCTTGTGCAGAACCGGCTTTGCTGTCCCTCTGCTGCACCAGTGCTGGGTGGCAGGGCTGCTCCTTTGCTCATGGTCCAGCATCTGTGCAGTGACCCTACCTGGCTGTACCAGATGAGGCTTCTCGGGGTGGCAGTAGGAGCTCTCATTGGTCCTGTGCAAACCCAGGGCAGAGTGGGCCCTCCTGCCAGCCTTCCCGGAACATGTTTCCTTTAAGGTGTGGAAAATGCTGCATTAATGAAACAGGTTCTTTACCATGGGCCCATTCAGAGGCTTTGTCTGCTCACTTGCTCTAAACGCCTTCAAGAGAGGCGGGAACCCGCAGTGTTTGGGAACGGCTGAGTGCTCAGGGTGAGCAGGGGCAACAGGCTCTTGATTCCTGCAAGCCACCTACCAGTGGGTGAGGCAGGTTGGGCTCCTTGCTCTCCCTGGCCAGTCTGGATTATAGCTGCCCGGGGCAGCAGGAAGGAAGCCAGCTAGATCTTACTTCTGAGGGACATTTCTACTTCTTGTTGTTGTTTAAAAATTAACCACAGCATTCTCAAGAACTCTCTGCTTCCCAGTGCCCCACGGGCTCCGGGTTTGAATCCCAGATCTGTACTTGTTAGATGAGGGCCCTTCGATGGCTCAGGGCTTTGTGTCTCCCTGGGCCAGTAGGGCCAGCAGGCAGGGAGGCAGCGTGTGCAGTCCTGGCCTCTGACTGCTGTCTGCTCTCTGCCTTTGTCTTCTAGGACCTGGTGACCATGGTGGAGCAGCTGGCCAGATTCCTGGGTGTGTCCTGTGACAAGGCCCAGCTGGAATCCCTGACTGAGCACTGCCACCAGCTGGTGGACCAGTGCTGCAATGCTGAGGCCTTGCCCGTGGGCCGGGGTACGTGTCCCTGCCTGCCTCGCTCACCGTCCCTGCTCCTGTCAGTACCTCAGGCTTTCTGGACCATTCTCTCCCTTTCACCATAGTACTTTGCTGGGCAGTGCCCTCTGCTTGGCCAGGGACACAATGGTCACCTGCCAGCCCTTGCCTGCTGGCACTCATAACCCAGCATTCAGTGAAGTCAGTGTTGCCCTCGGGTGGGTGTTGGGGACAGCTTGGGTTTTGTAGGAGAGATGTTTCTAGCAGGGGACCCACAGTGGCTGAAGTCAGACACCCATAGGGCACATCTAGGGGATGGTTTTGGTGCCGTGAGTTTCAGCATGCAAGGCCTAGGGTGGGTCTGCTAGCCTGCAGCTTCCTGGCTGAGGTGGGAGAGGCGGTGGCAGCAGACAGAACACAGCTCCTGAGGGCAGAGATGCCAGCTTCCTTCCTTTCCTGGAGGAAGTGGGCTGAGTGTCTTCTGGGTACAGGTGGCACAGACAAGGAAGGGCCTAGCCTTGGCACAGATGAACGAGGGTAGACAGGGCAGGAGCTCCTGGCTGGTGGCCATGAGGGAGGCAGGCAGGTGTCCTTGGTGGCATGCGGCAGTTGTTAGGTGTGCACAGTTGGAGACAGAAAGGTGTTCCAGGCTGGCATCCTTTCTCCACCTGGTTGCTCTCCTTGACCTTGTGGGCACGTGGTGTCCCATGCTGTTCAATGGCAGGGAGCTGGCCATTAAAGTCCCCAGAATGAATCCCAGGGTGGTGGCGGTGGACATGTAAGGACCCACCTGGAAAGTCTGACTCGAATTAACAGTGTGGTGTAGACCTGAAGCCGATCCCCGGGAGCGTGAGCTGGAAACCTCAGGGGTAGGAAGCCGGGGCCAGACCTGTGGCTCCCTCATCCACAGCATGTGCAGGATGGAGTGGCAGGTGCCCAATGAGAAAGATGGAGCTGGGCTCTGACCACAGCCATGCTGCCCCTGGGATGTGGCCTTGGGGAGCCCTCACCATCTGCAGCTGGGGGTCAGGTGGAGGGGTCTCTGGCAGGAAGAAGTAACCAATCCGGTGTGCCTTGTGGTTTATTTCCTGTCTGCATCTTCACAAATGTTCATTATTATTTACAATCTGTTTGCATTTTTACTTTTGCCTTTGCCATATTTTGTCATCCCCTCCGGAATGCCCCCTTGGTCCTTCCTGTGTGTGGTGCAGACATGCCCAGCCGCACTGCCTGCCACATGCTCCTTCCTGCTGTGTGCTTTGCCATCGTCTACCTTGGTTTTGTTTATTTCAGTTCTGTGGTTTTGTTTCCTTTTAGCACATTGCCTCTGTGCTCAGAAGATCTCCCTGAGCCGAGAGGGGCAGGGGCTCAGGTAGCCCCCCTGCACTGCTTGCCTTTGGTTCATGTCACAGCCTAAATTGTCTGAGTCCAAATCTTCCACCAGGTGGGTGCCTCCTTCCCTGGCTCAGCTGCCTCGGCTGAGAAAATACATTCCTGGAAGCTCTGGTTTTGTCCCTTTGGTATCATTAGAGAGTAGCAAGAATAGTTTCCTGTCTCTCCCTCCCCAACCTCAATAGGTGCTTTTCTCTCCTTACCAGAGAAGCCCCCTGTCGTGTGGGGCTGACCAGCTTGGCACTGGCAGGGCTGTGGTTTCTTCCCTGTGGCGCTGCCAGTACAGGAGGACCAGCACCGAGCTGGTGAGGGACAGGTGCTGGGGACAGTTGCAGCTCAGATCCAAGATGCTGACAGGGGAATTAATGTGTGTGTGTGTGTGTGTGTGTGTGTGTGTGTGATACATTAGCAGATTTATTAGGCCGTCAGAAAGTCAGAGAAAATAGGGCGGGAACTTCAACCTGAGGAACTTCAAAGTTTGAAAGTGTACTTTTTTGTTGTTGGCAGTACAAGGGCTGCAATGCCAGGCCTGTGTGTGCCAGGCAGGCACTCTACCACTGAGCTGCATGCGCAGCCCAAAAGTGGAAAGAACTCTAAAGAAGCCGATACGTAAAAGCCTAGTGCTGCTTTTTACTGCTTCCAGAAAGTGGGGAGTTTGGAATCCCCATTGTGCTTGGAGCCAACCTACTGGGATTTTGTAGTTAACAAGGAAAACAGGTCCACATCTTCTGGTGGTGGTGGTGGTTTTTATTTATGGTACTGGGGGTTGAATCCGGAGCCTTCACACTGAGGCAAAATTCTGGTCCTTTTTATATTTTTATTTTGAGACAGCCTCATTGCCCAGGCTAGATCAAACTTGTGATCCCCCTGCCTCAGCCTCCCAGCATGCTGAGATGACAGGTGTGCACCACCACACCCAGTACTTGGTGCCATTTTTGCCTCCCTTTTTTCCTCCTCCAAGGCTTCCTAAGCCACCATAGCTTGGTGCCTACCCATGAGCCTGTGGCCTGCAGCCTCTGCTGAGCGACCCCCGGTGTGCTGAGCCTGACCCGAGCCTGACCCCGGGGAGTTCTTGCTGTGGGGCACATTTTGCATCTGGTTTGAAAAGCCGGCTTGTGCCTGAGTATTCTGCACACTCTAAATTTGTCCTGAGGTTTTTGAATGCAGGCTGTTTGAAGTCTTCTTGACTCCTTTCCATTTGCCATGGCATTTTCTACCCTGAGGTTGATTTTTTTTTTCTTTTTCAAATTCCCGGGAGGCAAGGGACACCTTGGTGGCACTGTTGAGCAAGGCGTGAGTCCTGGTGTCACAGGGACCCCAACCCCACATGATGCCAAAGCACATGTGTCCCATAGAGAGTGCTCCCTCTCTGTGGTGTTGTCCAAGTCCCTCCCGTGTGCTGGGGAGTCAGTCATGAACCAGAGGGAAAGCCCCTCCTGCCAGCCTCCTGCCAGTGGGGTCGTAGCTGAAGGTGGCCATGGCCACTTCACTGACAGATGTGGTGGGAAGCAGGTTCCACTCAAGCCATGTGCAGCAGTTTCCAGAGTTGTACCCAGATGGCCCACCCCACCCCTAGGCCAGGATCTTGGGGTCCTTCCAGGTCTGTTTCCAGGGTTCCTTGGCTCCGTAGCTGGCCCAACAGCTGGCAGTTATAGCACACCCCGCTCTGGTTTGTGTTGCAGGGAGAGTTGGGCTGTGGAAGGACATCTTCACCGTCTCCATGAATGAGAAGTTTGACTTAGTGTATAAACAGAAGATGGGGAAGTGTGACCTCACGTTTGACTTTTATTTATAATGACGGAAATGGCGAACTTGCATGCTCATGGTCCCCAGACGCTCCTAGCTAAATGTCCTGTATGCATTCATTTATTCCTTGCTGGACACACCCTGGAAGCAGCGCGTAAACCACAGGGGAAGGAACCCATGCAGAATCCAAAGAAGTATGCCGGTCCCCATCCACAGCTGCTGCCTCGCCTTTAGGGTTGAGAGTTTCCACTTGTCTGATGCAAACCTTATAAAAATTACAGTCCGTGGCTTGCATCCTAAGTACAAAGTCCATGCTGCAGGCAGCTCCAGTCTCTGCCTTGGGCAACTCTATCTACTTACTGTATTTTCTAGAGCTTTTCACTGGAAATCTAAGTAAATATCAGTAAACCAAATAAAAGTTCATTTCCAAGGGGAAGCAAGAGTGAGCCGCCACCCAATGGCAGAAGCTCTCTGACTGCCTCTATTTGGTAGTCATGTCACCCAAGGCCCCGCATGGCACTGACCCTTGGTTCTGGGGTCCCTATGAGAACAGAGGATAAGGTGGGGTGCAGGGGAACTGGAGCTGTTGTGTTCTGCTGGAGTCCAGTCCTTGTGACCTTCCTGGCGCCTTCAGAAGACTTCTGGACACTTTCAGAATTCCGGCAGGGGCCGCTCTCGAGCCCAGTGCAGAGCATCCTGGGAGCTTCCACTTGCAGATGGGGGATCACCTACGAGCCATAGCCTCCGAAAGCAGGGAGTGGAGAGGCTGCCAGATGGACACCCAGACACTCAGCACTGGAGTTGAATTTCGCAGGCTTTCCTTTTGTTCCCTGAAGCAGTGGCAAGCAGAGGCTTTGTAGCGCAGCAGATTTCTAAAAGTCCTGGGTCTCTGGTGTTCAGTTTGTTCCCCCTGTGCCTGAGCTCTTGCTGAGAATGATTTTGCAAGTTGAATGCTTTCTGTCACTCAGGTGGGCAGCAGGGCACCTGTCTCTGTCACCCATACCTTAGTATGTCTGGGGGCAGTGACCGTGTCTGCCTACCACCTGCTTCCTTTTATGGCCCACGTTTGGCTGGAGGAAGAATGGAGAGCCGGCCAGGTGGGAGGCCAGGCACCGGCTCTTCCTGATGGAGCCAGGATGTGCCCCAGGGTGGGGGGGCGCAGGGCTGCCACTGTGGGGGGTCCTGTCTGTAGGAGAAGCGGGGGTGAGGCCAGGCACGCGCAGGGGCATGCACTCACTGAGTGGAGGCATGGGTGGCAGCACCTTTTCTTTGTGTCTGGGAGGGAGGCTGCTTTCTGTGAAATTTCATTTCTATTTTTCTATTTTTAGTACCGTATGGATATTACTGAGCACTACACATGATACTTCTGTGCTTGCTTGCATCTTTAATAAAGACACCTTCCCTGCCTTTTGTCGACAGTGTGTGTGCTGGCTGGTGAGGGTCCTTTCGGCATTTGGGGACAACAGGAGTGACCTTCATTGACGCCCTGTCCCTAGGGGGTTGGCTGCAGAGGGAAATGGGCCCATGTTGGGTTTTGATGAGGCAGAATTAGGCAGTTTCACTCACGTTCAGACTTGCCAAAAGTTGAATCCCCCCACCCCATGCGTTTTCCCTTTCACCTTTGACCACTTCTGTGAATGGGAGTGGAAGGCGGGATGGGGGAGGAAGAAGATTGGTGAGAGGTTTTGTTGGGCCCATGGGTCCAGGTGCCTCCACCTCTCCGGGATGCACTCGGTACTGTGGACCCAGATGTGATGGAGACCAGCCTGGCTGATTCCCTACCAGGTATCCCAGAGCCACATCCTGATTGCTTGTGCAAGGAAAGTCCAGGACGTTTTTGCTGAGAAAGAGCTGCTTGGGAAATCTGTTTACTTTCATGGGAGCTACTTTTGGTTCTCAGGTCAGGGCCTCCTCACCTGTGCTTGCTGGGGATCTGGAATGAACACAGACCCTGGTTGCTTCGTTGAGTGTCCATCCTGGGTCACTTACAAGCCAGGCAGAGCTAGGTGGAGGTTTGGGGGCGAGTGGTGCCGTGACCCAGAGGCTCCCTTAAACACCCCACTTCCTGAGGCCGTGGTCCCGTGGACATGTGAGCACCCACCATGTACCAGGCCTGGAAGAGGTGACGCCAGAACAGCCAGCAAGGATCTGGGGACTTGGAGCCTCAGTGGGGACAGCTGGGTAATGGAACTGGGCTGGCAGACTGCAGGCCTCATGTGGCGGGGACTCAGCCAGTTCACGGGGCTTTCCAGGTCATGAGATTTGAATTTTTGTGCCAGGAGGAATCCTAGGAGAGATCCATCCTGAGGGCCCTGCCCGATTGGCTTTTTCTCAGAGCTCCTCTGGCTGCTGTGATTGACTGCCGGGGCAAAGGCAGACGTGGTGTGGGAGTGGGGCTCTTAGGTCTGGCAGCCTGTGCTTCTGAGCTTTCCTTGCTGCTGCTGAGTTACCGCCTTCCGCACCTGGGAGCTGCAAGGGAACCTGGCCTGAGGTGCTGTGAAGACCCAAGTGAGAGCAGATTGGAGGGTGGACTCTGTGGGGAGGGGCCCTTCCGTAGACCTGGGGCCTGAGTGGGAGGAGCCTAGAGGCAGAAAAGGGGACCCAATCCTCATTGTTAAACTGCAGAGCACTCCACCCCAATCCCCAAATGTCAGGGTCCCTGGAAGTAGAGGTCAGTGGTGACCTGACTTTGATTTAACAGACCAGTGAGACTCCGGAAAGTACCTGGGCGAGCCCATGGAGTTTCATGTCTCTGCTCTCTGCCCCGGCACCCTGCCATTTGGAGTCGTCCTTTGGAGGGGTTGGCGCATCGCCCACGGCTGTCCCACCTGCAGCAGGCAAGTCACTCAGTGCCTCTGGCCAGCGCCCTGACGACAGTGGCAGTAATGTGTGTCCCACTCTCTCCATAGAATGGCCACGGTCACAACACCCCTGCCAGCGAGGGCGAGGCTGCTTTAGGAACTGGGTACCCACAAAATCCTGGCTGACTCCACCTGCTACCCCACCCCGCTGCCACCCTCGCCCCCGGTGACCACAGTACTGTTGCCAGCTCTTTCCATGGTAGAGAGGTGTGTGGCATTCAGTGCCCTGTAGGACGCTGCTCAGTACAGGTGCTTTTAGTGCAGCCCTGTCCCAGTGTGTGGGGAACCCCCCTACATCGGCAGAGTGCTGTTTGCAGTGGGCAGGCAACTCCTCTGGTATGGGCTCTGGAGAGCTGGCCCCGTTCTGCAGTTGGCCTGTTCCTCCACAAGGTGCCGTCCTCTCCTCTGCCTCGTACAGTGCACATTTTAGCAGGTCGTGAGCCTTAAGTGTCCCGGCCTCTGTGACCTCCCTGGCCACTGCATACTCCAGCCCACTGCCTACCCCACCCAGCAGCCCTCCCAGCCCTGCCACACCACCCGGTGCCTGGTGTTTCCCACCACCCTGCCTTCCTGTCTCCACTCCCCACTGTTCCGCAGCTGTCTGCCCTGCTCCCTGTCCCCATTTCCCAACATCTCCTTAGCCACCCAGGGCTTGGTTCCTGGTCACTGCTGAGGTGTGGTTGGGAAGTCCCTGGGTCTGCTCTCAGCTGTCACTAACGTCCTTGTGGGAAGAGTCCTGGTGAGGAACAGAGGCCCTGGCTTCCCATCCCACCCCCATGTTGTCACCTGCCCTGTCCCTGTGGCCTTGGGTTCTGCCAAGGGAAGGCTTCAAGGGGCAGGTTGCAGGGTCATTCGCTGTGCACTCCAGTTTGTGACCAAGGACGTATCCCCGTGTGTGTCCAGTGTGCTTCTCCGAGGAGATACCACCTCCACAGCCAACGGGGAGCTAGGAGGCTGGTGACCTCCCAAAGGGCGGGGAGGCTGCTGTGGATGCCATGCAGGGGGATGGGCACCCATAGGGAGGTGGGTCCACCACCCCAGAACGGGACACTTCCTCTGCCGTGCCCCTCCTGCTCCAAACCTTAGCCCTGTCATGGTTTCTGGGGCCACAAGGAGGGCCCTCCTTCTCTCAGGATAAAATGGTCTCAGACCTGGGGTCCAAAAATCCTGCCCCACTGGAGCCCTCTGTGAGTCAGTGATCAGACTATCCCTGGACCCACTCCTGAGAGGACCTGGTGACCGTGTGGCTGAGGAGGGATGAGGCCAGCAGTGAAGCCCGCCACAGAAGCACCTGCCCCGAGGCTCAGCCCCTGTACAGGCACTGTCTTAAGGCCTCCTTCGGCCTTGCCAGGCCTGTGTGACAGACAGCGGGAGTCACAGCCTTGGAGCCCTGTGCAGCTGGCACCAGAGTCTGAGCTGTGGTCCTGAAATCTGCCTCCTGCCATGGAGGAGAGGAGCCCATGTGTGGTGTTCACAGCAAGGTTGAAAAGCCAGCGGATGCTCGAAAATAAAAACCAGCCAGAAAATGTTTCCTCTTTCTGAGGTTGCCTTTTTATACTTGTACATCCATGGTGCTCGGCACTGACTGGGGATGGAAGTATGACAATACCATGAGCAGGGCCATCCCTGAGGGGAGGATGCCATCAGAGCTGCAGGGATTTGTCTCCAGTCTGCACAGCCTCAGAAGGCTTCAGCGAGAGGCTGAAATCGCCTTTCCCTGGTGCTTCTGTGTCCCCGTTCTCCACTCTACAATCTGTGGTACGTTGGGTTTCCAGAGGGGAGGAAAAATAATTCTCAGACACAGTTGGCAGGCTGAAGCCCATGTCTGCCCCAACCCACTGGCTCCTTGCCCATGTATGCCATGCCCTCTGCCTGGATGCTGGTCCCTGGCCGAAGCTAGTTTTCACATTCAGGCCTTGAGCAAGGTACAGGGTCTGGGGGCTACAAGTTCTGCTTTGGTCAATACTGTGCCTCCCATGTCTTACCTGGGACACAGTGACTGCTCAGACAGCTTGAGGACACCAGGGCCGTGTCTCGCTGGCTTTCCTTGGGACTAAGGGGTAGCACAGAAAGGCCTGGGAGACCACTGGCACATCCCAGGGCCCTCTGGATCCAACCGGCCTGGTCCTGTCAGCCGAGTGCTGCTGTCTGTGTTCCGACCCTAGAGCAGGCAGTTTGCTGGCCCGCACCGCCCACTTCACAACCTTGGCCTTCACTTCCAACATCACCTCCCCAGCTTGAAGGACTGAGTGCCCTCTTGCAAAGTCTTCCTGCTACTGCTGGGGATTGAACCCAGGACCTGACAAGTGCAAAGCATGTGCTCTCTTACTGAGTGACGTCCCCGGCTCCTCCATTTCTAAGTGACGTCTGTCCATGTCCACCCCTGCCCCACACTGACCTTAAATGCAGTCCCCACTCTGAGTGGATCTGGGGTACCCCAATTCTGTTCACATTGAGGCTTCAGTTTTAAGCTACAACCTCAGGAGTGTTGCCAAATATGGAGGACAGGCTGACTTCTATTGGCTGGTGGATACCATTATCTTATGTCCCCACCACTCGGGGGACTCTAGAAGGAGGAAAGGCTGGCCTTCTTTAGGCCAGAGAATGGGTGACTGGTATGTCTCCACTTCCATCATGAGACAGGACGTGGCAGCACGTGTCTCTGCAGAGTAGCGTGCGCCCAGACCCAGAACCTGAATTCTGAAGGGGGAAGAATCTCTGCAGTGGGGTGTGGCTTCCACGAGTTCTCCATGCTCACGAAGGAGGCGTTTCCATTCCCAAGTAGACACTAGGCAGAGCTGGTGCCTCATCCATCCCTGTCCCTGAGCTGTGCTTAGTACAGCACTCCGTTCCTATAAAGTAATCAATAAATGCTTGTTACCTAACTAAAGGCAAATTAAATGCTAAACAACACTAATTACAAGCTGCTGCAAGACCCGAGCTCTTGGCAAAGAGAATTGCTGTGATTGCCTAGGGTTTGCTAGCTGCCCAGGTGTATGAGACATGAAATTATTCTTTTCTTATGGCTGCTTTATTCCAGAGGGAGGACTGTCCCTGTAAAAGTGCAGCAGTTTAGTGTGTGCTGGGCAGGATGCATTACAATTCTAAATACCAGCATTCTGTGCTGTGGAATCTTGTTCAGAAGCAAGACAAGTGGATTTGATTCCCATTTCCATAAAAGGAGACAACCAGCAACCATTAAAGGAAACTAAGAGCTGAATGGTGTATTAGTACATTATGGGGAGGCATACCAAGGTACTACACAAACCTGTGTTGAGTCTTCCTCAATCTTGGATCCTAAAATAGGCACAAAAATGGCCCCCTGCTTACAAGTGATAATCAATTATTTGTAGTGACAGTGTTTAAAATGTGCGATTTCATTTCTGCCTGATTGAACAAAACTGAGCAGCTGCATCATCTGTCAAGGTAAATGAGAGACAGCGAGCGAGAGAGAATGAGAATCTATTTTAGTAAGGAAAAAGTAACCACAGTAGCTTTTCCAAGAGAGGTACGAATACTTCATGTACTTTAATTTCTGTTCAAGGTGGCCAGAAGGACAGTGGCAAAGGGACAGTGGCACATGCAGGTCACATGTGTGTCCTTCCGGCCTTTATTCTTAGATGTGGTGGGAAATGGTGTGTGACTCCTCAGGGCTTGATCAGGTCCTGCTGTACAGAATCTCCATTCACAAGGTCACTGGGGTGACCGAGGTCAGGACAGCCCCGTCTTGGTGTACAGAGTGGGATTCGAACCTCTCTGAGTCCTCAGATCTGCTGGGTGGGTGGAGGATCGCCAGCAGCCCTGCACCATCCCAGAGTTTCTTCTTAATTACGACAGGGATGAGCAATCTGTTGGATATCATAAGTGTAAAAATATTTTCTCCAGTTCTTCCTGGTTTGTTTTCCAGATCTTCACCCAAGGCCTTGAGCAGCAGACCTCTGTGATGGTAGAAGTCATAGAAATGTGAACACTTCCTGCTTGGTGAGTTATGCACGTTGTGGTTTATGAGATGCTAAAGAACATTGTGGAGAGGGTGGCAAGCACACCCCAAAATCCAGGCTTAACCTGCTGAAGACAGACCTGTTGGGCCACCCTGTGCTGGGAAAGCTTTTCCAGAGAAGACAGCAGTCTCATACAAAATGCTTCCTGGGGCCACTGCCACATTACAGAACTCTGGTCTAATGAGAACAAAGATACACCTACTCTAATAGGCGTTATAGTTTCATCAAGATAAGCAATTAGTGAGGTGAATTTAGTTTCTTCTAAATAAATTATCTCTACCCAGGGAAGTAAGAAATTTCCAAGAGCAGGGAGAACACTGTGGAATAAAGATGCTCTACAAAAAAAAAAAAAGAAAAAAGAATTACACGACAAACCTCATGATAGACTGGTCTTGTTAGTCATTTAAATACAGTCACCTCCCCTTGTCCACAGGGTAACATTTTAGGATATGCAGAAGGATTTTGGGAGTCAGGAGAACTAGGATAGGCTCAAACTCTATAAAGACCATTTTTTTTCTTACACATACAAACCCGTGGATAAAGTTTGATTTTAATATTAGGCACAATAAAGTGACCACACTAGCTAATAATAAGATAGACCGATTATAACAATACACTGTCATAAAAGCCGTGTGAATCTGGTCTCCCATTCTGCAAGCACCCAGTCATACTATATTCACCTTCTTGGCCTTAGGCCGAGGGAGATGTTGCCGTGTCTGTGCGGGGAAGTGGGGTGACTGGCATGGTGAGGGGCGAGGACGCTGAGCTGCTGTGGAAGGGCCACTTGAGAGACTGCAACAGTCAGTCTGACAGCCAAGCTGAGGACTGAGGCACAGCCAGCTGGGCCGGGTCCGCAGTGTGGATTCTCTGGACAAAGGGACCTTTCACATCCAGGGCAGAGAGGGGTCAGACTCGACCACACAACTCTCAGACCAGTGCACAGTGAAAAACTTAGGAATTGTTTACTTCTGGGATTTTCTGTGTAGTACTTTTGGATCACAGTTGCCCATGGTTAACTGAAACCAGAGAAAGCAGAACTCCCCAGTCAGGGAGGACTGCTGAATGCAGAGGAAACTGTCCATCCTGTGGCCCCCGGAAACAAGCAAGGGTTTTGATTTATCCAGCTCTCAGCTGCATGGACCCAGTCAGACACCACTGCATCATGGCTGATTCCAGAGACATTCATTATGTTCACAATGGAATACCGTGTTTGCTCCCACAGCCGGACTTCAGCTGGAGTTCCCCACCTAAAATTATCCCTCAGAAGACTGTGACTGAAAATTAGAATCCTTCTAAAAACTTCATGCAGTGGTTTGATCCTCAGTTACTTTACTTTCAATAACAAATTACCTCAGCCATGGCAGGTTTTAGGGGAGGAGGGAGGGCTGATTAACACACATTTAGTAAATTCCTGGGGTCATAGCGTTAGGTTTGTTTTTTTTTTTGGTGGGTGTATTAAACATTATTTTTTGTTTGTTTGTTTTTTGTTTTTCTGAGACAGGGTCTCACTTTGTAGTGCAGGCTGGCCTTGAACTCACTATATAGCCTAGATTGGCCTTGAACTCACAGTGATCCTCCTGCCTCAGACTCCTAAGTGCTGGGATTACAGATGTGCACCACGTCTGGCTATACATTATTTTAAATAGATCTTCTAAAGTGTACTTTAATAAAACAGTGAGATAATCCTGGAGATTATAAACAGCCACAGGATGTATTTTTTTTTAAACTGTCCTAATGTTATACAACTAGGTCCCATGACTCAGTCACAGAAAGGGAAAATGGGAAACAATATTTGAAGAGAGTGGGTGAGAATTTTCTAAAATGGATGAAAGATAGTAAGCCACATATTCAAACTCAAGTGAGAAAAGGCAAAGAAAACACAGCTAGGGGTATGTTAAAAACTTCCAGAGAAAAGAAAGACATACTTCCAAAGAGAAAACAATTACACAGAATTTTATCCTTGCAACAGAAACGATAAAAGCCAGACTATGGGGCTGGGGATTTAGCTCAGTGGTTCCACCACCTGCCTCGCAAGCTCAAGGACCCGAGTTCGATCCCCGGTACCCCCCCCAAAAATAAATAAATAAATAAAATAAAAGCCAGACTATAATTAAATGGCATCATGGAGACCAGCCTGGAATGCATGATAAGTTCAAGGCCTGAACTATATAGTAAGATCTTGTCTCAAAAAATATAAAATAAAATAAAATGCTGAACAAAAGTAATGTGCACCTAGAATATTTTTCATTTTATGATCAGATTTATTTTTTGTTTAAATTTCATTTACTTTGTTATACTGTAATTTACACGAGAGACTGCCAAGTCAACTAGGTATTTTACATTCACCGCACATCCCCTCAAATCTCCACAGTTGTTAGAAAAACATTAAAATCTGTGTGTTGGGCTCTCATTTCCATGTGTGCCCAAGCTCCCAATGAGACTACAGATGCCAGTGAGAGTTAGGTTCATTGAAAGGAGAGGGCTAGACTCTTTTTTGTTTCATTTTGTTTTGTTTTGGTACCGGGGATCGAACTCAGGTCCTTGTGCTTGGGAGGCAGGTGGCAGAACCACTGAGCTAAATTCCCAGCCCCAAGGGCTAAATTACTCTTTAATCCACAAACTAGCAATGATCTTCCTTGCACCAAACACTTTGCAAAATGACTAAGCTTTGACAAAACCTACCTTACAACAGTGCCCAGAGAGTAAACATTAGCCTTTATCCTGAGTACACAGAGGACACAGGAAATGTGGGCTGTTGCTGAGGATAACAGCATATCTCAATGCAGCAGTGATCCTAAACTTCACTCTCCCATTCATTGCCCCGCTTCAGTGGGGACACAGGACATGTGGGAAAATGAGGAGCCAGGAGGGCAGGACTGTCAGCAAATCACATTACTAATGTGATTAGGGTGCAGGGGTTGGCGTGCTTTAGAAGAAATGGGAGGTTGAAGAAGACCGTTTGTGACCTGAAGGCTTCAACAATATCATTCTACCCAAGCTTCTGGGACTGACAGGAGAAAAACTGCATTTAGAGAAAGCTGATAAAAATCGTACTTAGCTATGGTTCCTTCTTAAAAAAAAGGGGGGTGGGGCAGCAACTTCTAATGAGCATTTTCCTGACACCTATGCAGGATGTGTTCTTTGACGTCCTACTGAAGAGCACGTATAGAAGTTAGAAGACCACGGGGCCCTTGGTAGGGCCTCCTGCAGTGTGCAGTCAAGACCTGTGCTGCATCTTACTCTATTCCCAGCTCAGAGTCAGCATCCCCCCTTGAGGTGTAATGGAACATGAAAGAACAAAATATCACCACTCCAGCCAATCCTGTAAGCTATTAGGCATCTGGACCAGTTGCATGGTTTCCATGATGCAATTGTAGAAAATAGTCACTTCTGAAATGCTATACTTCCAATTTTCCCATATGGCCTACAATACTCTTATGATTAACATCGTTGTCCATTTCTTTGTCTCACAAAAGCCTGGAAATTTTCTAGTGTTTATTATAAATCACAAACCGTCTTCTCCATTTTTGCTAGATTTGATGTAGAAAAATACTTGAAATTTAAAATACAAAAATCCAATAAAAATCAGAAAACTTTTCTAAAAGGATTTTTCCCTCAGGGAAAAGTAGTAAAAACTGGCCAGTAACTTTGCTCTTAACAGATATTGTCAGATTTGGCAGGATGATTGTGACCATCCAGAAATAAATAGCCATAAATACATTCAGAGTTTACATTCCAGATTCATTGGAATACCAAAAAATTTTGAAGAAGTCTTTCCGTGGGAGTCTGTTGCTTATGAGACTAAAATAAAAATTCGTAAGACACTGATTTAAAAAAAAGAAGAATAACAAAATGCTATATATATATATATTGGTCCACAACTTGGCATTTATGAAACATACCAGCTAGTATCACATTGCAGTCAATTTGTCCAGTAATTGTATTATTCTGATAATTATTAAAATGTTTTCCAGGTATATATATTGAAAATATTTTCTTTTGCATTCTTGCCCAAGATAGGTACAGTACTTTGGAGAAATTGTACTGATCCCTTCAGGATGTTTGTATGTGCCTTTATACACACATGTGTGTATCTGGATCTGTAGCTCTACATGCCTTCTGTATACAGCTACAGACACACACAGATACGCAGCTGGGAACCTGTGCGTGTGTGTGCGTCATCACAAGCACATGTTGGAAACATCAACACTGCAAGATACTGGGCAGATTCTTCTTCACTCATCACTGGCGGCGCTTGTTCCCCTCACTGGGCCTTGATGATGTGAACAGTTTGATGTTGTCTCTGACCCTACGGGGGACTCACGTAGGCATCAGCAGCCGGAGTGCCTCAGACGGAACCCTTCTTACGCATTGTTTCTAGTTCTTTGTGAGTCTCATCTTCCATTCTCCTAATGTCTTCCATTGTCAGGTCAGTCCACTCGTCAGTCCAACAAAAAAGCTGGCGATGGAAGTTTGTAAATATCCTTTTTTCTTGCTTCTGGATGAAGGTTTCTACTTTGTTTTGCAGCCCCCACCACTTGAATTTGATGATCACCAGCTTATAGGCACACATTTGAGGATAGTCAGGGTTCTTTGCCAGATCCTTCTTCCAGTTGGGTCTCAAAGGGCCTCTCTTGGTTTTGACTGACTGAAATAATGAAGACTGGGTCTTCGTTAGCTTTGTAGTCTTGAGTCTTCCACTCCTGGGTATTCTGAAGGCTGAATTTGCTATGCACTTTCTGTAATCTCCAGGTTCAACTTGACTTACACCTGCAATATCTATATGGACAACTTCAACAGTTTTCCATGTGTTTGGATCCAAATCATGAACATTTTCTAATGTCCCCAAGCCTGGTTTGTGCGATGTTTCACTTTTAATGAAGAAGTCATCTTTCATATATTCATTTGTTACAACTGAGGCCTAGTGGAGAGCCAGGCAATAAATCAGGAAAATTTTCAGATAAATTGGAGTTAAAACAATCTGTCCCAATATTTTATGTCACAAAGACTAACCTACTTGTTCTACAACAGGGATATGAATTCCAGGTTTCTCATGAAATACCAAGGAGCCTTCAGGAGCAACCATCCTCACGAATGTGGGAACTTTTCTTTTAGGTGATAAATTTTGTGTGTAAATTGGCCCTTTTCTCCATCCTTCTCATAAGGTTCCTTCTTTAAGGCTTCAATTCCTTCACCACCACCAGTCCCATTCTTACTAGCCTCTGTGACAGAGTAAAGCTGTCCAACCTGATACTCCGGAACAGAACGTGGCAAAACCACACAGAGTCATCTCAATCCTCATTTTGTAGAAAATTCCCAATGGTGTTACTCATTC